GTACCTTTGAATGAAATTTTCTTACACGAGTTGTGTGATATCAGGTTAGTAGTAAGTCTAAGTAAACTACCCACATTTTCAATGAAAAATAATAAAACAGGAAATGATCCGAATAAGTCGGGAGTAACCTTTGTAAACGATTATAAGTATCAATGCAGTGATAATTGACAGCAAAATATCTTTAAAAAAACAGGTTCTATCAACAGTACGTAGTTCGTCAATAATAATGTTCACAGATTATGTCAACTTCACTACGGTAATCATTCGTGTCACCGAAATAAACTTTTTGGGCTGTGCACTTATTTCAAATCAAAGAGTTCCATTAATTGTGCAAGAAAAGGAAAAATAAGCGGTGGAAATGAATAGGTATAGTTGTGGCTTCCAACCCAACCTCGCTGCAGTAATTTCCTTGAAACACTTGAAGTAGCTTTCAATGCTTAACCTTGAAAAAGCTGCAGAGTACCTAAATAAGCTCAAACATGCATTACTTTTATGTTCAGGTTCCAAGAAAGAAGGTGCTCAAGAGTATATTAAAATGATAGGAGCCACAAGTGTTTAGAATAAACCCTTATAGCTCTAACATCGTAGATCCTTTCAAGATCTTGATCGACACCTTTTAGGATAAGAATATTGAACATAACTCTCCAATACATTTAGAATCTCAGAGAGAAAATGAGAGGATAGCAATAATTAACCTTTTACAACTACTTTTTAAAGGTTTGAAGTTGTTGGTGGAAAACAGCGGAAAATTTAAAGAATAAGACACTTTATCGTGGATGATGCATTGCACTTGAGTAATAGTCATTATGTACAGTGTTATTAATTCTGTTATTAGTTGTATGCGATCGGCTTAGCTGGTAGCTTGTCCAATGATATAACCCCTATCGGCACCAGTGGATCCTTGTTGAGCGCAGGATACCTTAAGAGACAGTGTAGAAGTATATTTGCTATGTAAGTGAATTAAAGGGTTCTGAGACCAATTAACATACGGATGAGATAGGAATGAAAGTTGTGGATGATGTAGCGCTAGCAACAGTCCAAACACCATTGTTGCAGAATACCTAAAGAGATCTCATCTTAATTATACTGATTATGTAAGTATACTGTAAAATATTAGTATGGGATACGCACGGTAACAGCTAGTGAGGTGCCAGTGTTCGTCACAGTTCGGACAACACTACCAGCTGCGTCGAAGAACTCGATTTGCATGCGCAATGGCTAGAAATTAAAATTGTCAAAATCAATAGGTTAGGAAGTAAGAAGAGCTGTTAAAAAGTGTTTTTCCTCTCAACACACTGAGGTAAATGGTTTACAAAATCTAAAAACAGTTTTAAAGACTCAGAATAAGTTCATCTCTAATTAAGATTTGTCTTTTATGCTAAAGAAAGTAAGAAGCGTATTATC